TTGCAAACTAAGGCCTCCCGATGTGAGTGTATACCTGGGAAAGTGTGTTTGTGCTTTGATGTAGAAGTAAAGTATCCAGTTGGGTTGGAGTGATCATAGTTCTGATGACAAACTCAGGTTTCCCGTGAGGAGGGCATGTAAATAATGCACCCATACATGTAACATGCACAGCACGCAAATAATGTGCAAGGGGCGTGATTGGCAAAAACATAGAGTGTGTGCGTTATTTTAGTAAAAGTACGGTATGCCTATCCTTCCCAGGAAGCTTGTGCAAATGACATAATGAAAATAAAGGTAAAATAACTACTTTAAATGTTAGCTAAGTAGTACTCATTCTCAAAAATTCTAATTGGACCTTTCCTTTGGTTACTACTTCATCTTTTCCTGAGTTTGGTTACTACTACATTTTTTCCTGAGTTCCTGAAATGGGCATTGTACTCTTATTACTTCAGGTTAACTCTTATCAGATGTCGTCTTTGTGTTATTTTTTCCTAACCACTTAGCGAAACTGTCTGTAATTTGGTGTTAGATGAGCTCTTTGAGAAGTTAATAAGGCACTTCTCGTCTTTATCAGTCTCTTACTAGGAAATCTCTGGGATGTTCTCTCCCACTGGCCTTGGAATCCAGGCCGCTCTCCAGCTGCTCTTGGGAGACGGTGCTCCCTCCTTTCTCTGAGTGCTGCTGCCTCTGTTTAATGAGTAATCTTTCCTCATCTTTGACTCTTTTATTTTCTTGCTCAGAAATGGACATTCCTTGAGCGCCAAAACTGTGCTTGTTCTAATGCTCCTTATGTTTGATATACTCCACTCATGGAGTATTTAAAGTCTTGCTCATAGTTGAGATTATTTTGATGAAATACCAGTTTTAAATAACAGTCCTCCCTTAGAATGAGAAAGATTGATCCAAAATGTATCCCTGCAAAAAATCTTAATAAAGAGAACCCTATACTATTAGATCGGAAGGAAGATGGGACAATCTACTTCTGTAGTGATACTGCCTTGGAAACCCAAGGAGGGGTCGCTATGAGTCAGGTCCGACTCGACGGCAAACAACAGCAACAACATACTATTAGAACTTTAGCTTTCTTTGTTTACCTGCAAGGAATATTTTTATGAAGAAGTTATGCTGTCTGCCAGTCTTACCACATCACTCCAGGTAAATAGACTAGTTACAACCAGAGGTATAAGTGATCTCCCTGAAGCCTGGCATGTATTATGTCGCTCCCCATTCATCCACTCATCCAGTACAGGCATACTTTGGAGATATTGTGGGTTCAATTTCAGACTACCACAATAAAGTGAATATTGCAATAAAATGAGTCATGAAATTTTTGGTTGCCCACTGCATGTCAAAGTCATGTTTACATGATACTGTAGCCACTTAAGTGTGCAATAGAATTTTGAAGAGGTTTGAAATACTGTGAGAATAATAAAAACATGACACAGAGACATGAAGTGAGTACATGCTATTGGAAAAATGGCTCCAGTAGACTTGCTTAATGCAGGGTGGTCACAAACCTTCAATTTGAAAAGTGAAATATCTGCAAAGCATAATAAAGTGAGGTGTGCCTGTACTTAGTGCTCACCACTGGGGAGACAGTATGAATTGGACAGTCCCTGTGCCTGCCCTGATGGCGCTTAGAATGGGCCTGCAGTCTAGCTGCGAAGACAGGCATTAACCAACTATCCCATAGGGTGTTGTGAGTATTAATAATCGGGCAGGTTGAGGGGCTGAGCGAACGCCTCATAGGGGTACCTACTCCAGTCAAGGAGCCAGGAAACATTTCCCCAAGGAAGTTATGTGTAAGTGGAGACCCAAAGGGTGTGCAAGAGTTTGCCAGTTAGTGAAGGCAGTGAAATGGAGGGAATAGCATATTGGAGGCCCTCTTTCAGGTACTAAAAGATTTTCCATGTGGTCATATGAATGTAGAATGGGGGCACGAGGGATGGCAAGAGTGGAGTATAGATAAGTAGCATCCTGCGTTATAGTTATAATGACAGAAGCCAGCAGACACTAGTAGAGAAGGTAGACTTTGTTTCAGGGTGAAGGATATGGAAAGTTGGAGAGACAGTCATTCAGATTAGGAGATAATGCTGCACATCCCCAGACTGTTGTACAGGTTACCTGGTTCCCTGGCAGTGATACCACCAATACAGTAAGGATTTCATCAGGTGGGCAAAGTTCCCCTTGCCATTCCTCTCAGGGTTTTCTCCCTGCCTGACTATTGCGAGTCTCCATGGCTGTCCCTCAACAGGTACAAATCACAGCTGCAAAATGTCCTCAGTTCATAGTGAATATTTACTGTAAGGTGAGGTGAACTGTAGGTGAGTTGTACAGGAGCACCCCCAGCAGGTCTAGCATTAGCACCTACCCTAGGTCTCTTCTTGCAGGCCAGATTCTGTAGAGTGCATGCACTCTGAAACGCTATGTGTCCCCCAGTTGGCCTTTATATTAGAGTGCCATAGAGCCTCACTAGGAATATCGTTTCAGGTCTTCAGGGAAGTTCATTTTGTGTTTTTGTTCTTTTCTCTAAAAGCGAAAGTTTGTGTGTTCCAGTTTTAATCTTGACCCACATATTTGCCCATGGTTATTAGCTAAGAAGGATTTCTGAAGGTAGTGGTGGTGCAGTAGTAGAAATCTTACCTTCCATGTGGGAGACCCGGGTTCGGGTCCTGGCTGATGCACCTCATGCAGCCACCACAGCTCTGTCAGAGGAAGCTTGCATGTTGCTAGGGTGCTGAATAGGTTTCAGCAGAGCTTCCAGACTAAGACAGACTAGGAAGAAACACCTGGCAATCTATTGCCAAAAATTCAGTCA